AACTGTACCCTATGATTTTTAAATAATTACCCCCAGAAGGTGAGGTGCCAGCCCAAGAACTGACCCTAAAAAAGTGGACAAATATTACTGAACAGATTTTGCGCAAATCGCATTTTTAATTTTTCCCCATGTTAACCCTATGGGAAAATGCACGTGCCGATTACCCCAAAACGGGTTAATTATATTTCAAGCGACCGGTACCAGCCGGTAGCTCCCCCACACGGGACCAAACGCTGAAAATGGCAAGAAAATCTACCGAGCCGTTTCGGCGGCGATCAAAATGACCCAAATCGCGGCAGAAACGCTAAACACCCCCCTAGAGAGGTAGCTCAGGTTGGGATTTTCAATAGAAAATCACAATTCTAAAGAATAGTGATTGTTCTTAATTGAAAAGTCCCAACCTTCGGATAGGCCCGGGCAGCGCTTGTCGAACAGCACTGCGGATCCGAAGGTTGGGACTTTAATTGTGAAAAACCGCCCGCCCGCCGCCAAACGCAAACACCGCAAAACGCGCAAAACGCACGCCCAAAACGCAAACGCAAACTTCGCAAAAAAAGAAACAATCGCCCGCCCGCCGAAAAACGCAGAAAAAAACGCAAAAAATGCAAAAAACGCCGCAAAAAGCAAACACCGCCGCCGCAAAAAAACGCCCGCATCGCCCGCCGCCAGCCGCAAAACGCCGCAAAAAAGGCCGCCCGCCGCAAACCACAAAACGCCGCAAAAACGGCCGCCCGCCGCAAACCGAAACACGCCGCAAAAAACGGCCGCCCGCCGCAAACCGCCGCTAAAACGGCCGCCCGCCGCCAAACGCAAACACCGTAAAAAACACCCGCATCGCCCGCCCGCCCACCGCCAAACACAAAAACCGCAAAAAACGCAAACACCGCCGCAAAAAACGCCCGCAACGCCCGCCCGCCCGCCGCCAACCGCAAAACGCCGCAAAAAAACGGCCGCCCGCCGCCAAACGCAAACACCGAAAAAACGCAAACACCGCCGCAAAAAACGCCCGCCGTGGGCAAAACGCAAACACTGACGCATTAAGACAAATATGACGCCTTGCGGCAAATGTGATGCATTCATATCTGCCGTTAAGGCAGCCATACCTCAATCACAGCGCATCCTAATCGTCCCATGTTCGACAAAGATACGCACATTCTGCGATTTGCGGCAAAAATGGCGCTTTGAGACAAACGTGGCGCACTGCAACAAACGTGGCGCACTTGTTCCTGCCGCTTAACAATGCATCCAGCCACCAAATTTTAGCCCAATCGGACTTAAACTGACAAAGTTATGTACATTTGAATATTTCACTATAAAATATCTCCGCCACGAAGGTGCCCATCTTCGCACGTGTGCCACGTGACCACTGGTGGTGTAAGCAGGACTTGTCCCCTCGCCGATTGAACTATTTTAGGCTTCCTGACTGGTGCTGTTTTCGTGCTATAACGCCACAAATCGGCAAACACACGATAATCTGGGAGGTGCTCGATTCAAACACGTGGCCACGTGGCACGTGCCGGACCTTTGATAGCTTCACCGCTCACACCACGTGATGACCCATCGACGTGGCCATCAGCATATAAAAGATGACCCCGGCCGGTGTCACCGTCCCTGAACAGTGGACGGCTTAAGTCAAAAAACGGGAAAATTTAGGGAAATTTCACCTTTCGAATATATAATTTCCCCAGAATTTTGAATTTTTCATTTTACAAAAAAATCCGAGATAGCAGTTTTTTAGCCCCCTTCATTCTGTGCCTACACCCGTTTTCAGATCGACCCTATCATAAAATCTGTCGGCCTGGCGGCTATTTCCCCCATTCCTTGCATTTCACAGTGCTAGTATATTTAAGCACCAAAATTGGCCCCGTGCCACGGCACGTGCAATAGCACGTGCGCCACGTGACCACTAGTGCGACAAGCTGGACTCATCTGCTCACCGGCTGCGTTGATTTGGTGTCGCTAAGTGGAGTGGTTTCCACGCCATAGGACCCCCAGTTGGCCAATGTCGGATTTTCCCGGAGGTTACCCCATCAAACACGTTTGCACGTGGCACGTGCTTTTCAATCGCCCCATATCTGACCCATACCACGTGGTAGCCGACACCCCGGTGCACAACATATTGGAACTTTTTCAAAATCTAACGTGGAAATTTTTGGCAAAATTGATTTGAAAATAATTTTTTGAAATCGCCATAGGCTCAGCATGGGGTAACTATCCGTTCCAATTACCCGAAATTGTATCCTATGATTTTTAAATAATTAACACCAAAAGTTGAGGTGCCAGCCCTAGATCCGACCCTAAAAATATCAGCAAATATAATTGACGAAATTTTTCGCAAATCGAATTTCCAATTTTTCCCCATGTTAACCCTATGGGAAAATGCACGTGCCGATTACCCCAAAACGGGCCCATTATATTTTATGCAACTTTGCCACAAGGTAGCTCCCCCATAGGGGACCAAACGGTGAAAATGGCAAGAAAGTTGACCGTGCCGTTTTTGCGGGAGTCAAAATGTCCTAAATCGCGGCAGAAACGCTAAACACCCCCCTAGAGAGGTAGCTCAGGTTGGGATTTTCAATAGAAAATCACAATTCTAAAGAATAGTGATTGTCTAATTGAAAAGTCCCAACCTTCGGATATTGCTATAAGAGGTCACTGACATTACCAGGTCACAGGTCAGGTCACCAAGGGTCACAGGTCAGGTCACATGAACCTAACTTTAGGTACTAAGGTTGTGCGATGCATGTTTTATGGCCAATTTTTCATTTCCAACTCAATGGTGTTGGTTATAAGACTATCAGGTACGGCTTAGGCTACTTTCTGGTGGAGGTCAGGTCAAGGTCAGGTCAAAAAAGGTCAAATTTCAAAGTTGATATTTTTGCATAAAATGGGTATTGATTCGATGCAGATCATCACGGGGAGTCTAATGGTGGTCTTTGTTTTGCGCTACGAGGTCTAGAATTGCAAAAAATTGAGTTTGAAAATTTGACGTCATCAATTTTGAACAGTTTTTTCGCTGTAACTTGGCCAAAAAAAGAGGTATCGATCTCAAATTTGGTATGTAGATAGAAGGCGGTAAGGACTATCACATATATTCCGGTTTTTTCGAAATTCAAAAAACTTTTTGGATTTTTCGGCTATTATAATCAAAAAATCTTTTTTTTGATCTTTGGGGGTCAAAATCCAAAAATTTCAAAAATCCGAGATAGCAGTTTTGTAGCCCTGTCGATTCTACAGCTTTTATGTCCTTATCGTTTTTCTGTATTTGCAAAGCTATAGGCCTGACAGCTCTTCCCGCGAAACCCTTTTTTGGGTCGAAAACGGCAGAACATGACGTCACTCTGACGTCATTTCCGGCCATTCTATCATAGCCTTTGGATAAATTTTTGGTCACAATGTGTAAAATTGATGTCCGGGAGGGTACTGAAAGTTTGGTGACGATCGGCGCAGCGGTTCTGGAGATATATCGAAAAGTCTGGAGGGGGGGCAAAAAATAGCCCCCCCCCACCAGGGCGCGGGTTAATCTGGCTGAAAATAAACATTTTTCACGGAATAAAAACGTTTTTCGCCAATATCTTATTATGTTTATGAAGTCAGATGTATAAAATAGCGCCATCGTGTTTGCTTTTTCCAGTCGGATCGAATTGTATAAGTTTTTATTTCGAAAGGTCAAATATGAAATTTGACCAAAATTTGACCCTAGGTCAAGGTCACGAAATGACCTTAACATATAAGGCTGCGTATGGCATGATGCGCCTGGCCAAAGTGAACTAATTGATGTGTTTCCCAAATCCCTATACCTATTCTATCAAAAGATATAGACATAAAAGGCATATGAATGTCGTGAGTCATAATGTGACCTCGGATGACCTTTCCGCGGGTCACTGATGCAAAATTGCACCAGAGTGATCAATAATAACCTAATATGGTATGATTATGAAGTAACTGTACCAGTCCGATGCGTTTTAGTGGCCTAGCCGGTACTTTTGCCATTGACTTATAATGGGCAGGTCACAAAGATGACCTGACCTGAGGTCAATGCAGGCCGATAGCCATGTTTTTTATTGTCGCATATGAACGACCATTGATAAGGCTTGAATCGTCATCAGACCAAATTTTAACTTTCAGGTGGGAAAGTGTCAAGGTCACTCTTCAAAAAATAGGTCAAGAGGTCACGCGACCAAAATTTTCGAAAATCGAAAATCCGAGATAGACAAAAGTTTCCTTGTTTAATTTTGAGTTGGAAGACATAAAGTTATCCTCATACAAAAATCAATAGTTTCTGAGTTATGAGCCGCCAAACATAGGGTTGCTGCGTGACCTCCAGGAATTGCCCGAGGCTATATCTCGAAAACTGTAGGTCAAAAAAAAAATATCCTTGCCACAGCTGGCTTTCCCGCCCATTTCTACCCTATACACCAATTTTGAGCGAAAAATAAAATATGAGGGTGTCAATTTAATTTTTTTTTGGTCGATCTATCGTGGAATGCCCCAGCTCGAACATGCACGTGCATTTCTGAGTAATGAGCGTAACAAAGATAAGGCTCGCCTGGCCTCCGGAATCAAGAATATAACACGCTCACATTTTCCTTCCAACATTGAGTTCCGTACGCCCAGTCAGCGAAGTGTGTAGGAATTCGATAACATATCCGAACAGTTATACGAGAGGACAAGTGTTTTATTCAGTGCTGGTCATACCGGACAATGAACAATGGTTCCACCTGCGTGCCACGGCCGCGGTTAGTTCCAGGAAACGGCGGCCGTGTCGTAATGCGAGGTAAATTCCGCGCCGTCCGACTGCGCGCTGACATTGCGTGCTGTGCTTGTGGTCCACCGCTTCTGTCACTGCATCTGTGCATTTAACCTGGATTTTATTCAATGTTTTATATTTGGTGGCTGATTTTACAAGGTAAATTGCTCAACACTTCGGGTGAGTTTTGATCTGATGCAACATATTGCCTTGTGGCAATGGCTTATTGACGAATGTGTCTCTTTTTCAGTATCAATTTCTTATCCGGGACTTGAAAAGGGAATACAACCGTGCGAAAGTATGCGACAAAGGGAAGAAGAACTGTGACCTTCGTCTTGATCCAGGTAATATATGTACACTAGGCAGCCAATGAACAGACTCTAACGGGAGGCTACGCCGTTACCTTACACCTACTGGCATTTAACATTATCAGTTCACGACAGTTATACTTCGCCCGCACTTGCTTCCTCATCTTACCGAAATATTTTCTTCTCAATGTGCACCTCAGCAGATAAAATAAATGCGACTGCAACCTGAAACACTCAAATTGAGTCCGTCGTTTTGTTGTATGACATCGCTCTGTATATCCCTCCACAGACCTGAATAGAATTATGGCTACCAGCCGAGACGCTGAGGAAATGGAGCACTTCTGGGACAAGTTCAGGGATACCACTGGGAAGGACATGCGATCGGACTATATCCAGCTCGTCAACTGGACAAACATCGTCGCCAAGAAAAATGGTGAGTGACGGCACGCATTCCTCGCGTCTGGAATTGCGCGTTGCAGGCGAAATGCGTGGTTGTTTTTATTTTCCGTTTTGGTGCCTACCTGGTGTCTTTTTATAACGACATTGTTAAGGTTGATAACTGACCACTTATATAATACTTTGTACTTGCCAAAAACATCAGCAGCATCGCGTGAAGATATGCATATCATAAGCACTAAGCCGTGCGTAGATAAGCCTGCATGGTCGGTGGTGCAACATGGGCCTCGTGTTTGGAAGTTTTTAGCGTGTGCAGCGTTGATTTCATTCCAGCCATGCCCTTAATGCAGACAATACATTTTAACAAAATTATTCTTTATTTGTTGAAAACATATTTGGCATGCATTCGATTGCAGTTAAGAATATCCGCAGCTTATTGTTGTGTAATCACGCATTTACCTTGTATCACGGAATATATAGTCTACGACATGGAATGGACAAGATCGAGATTTCCTGTAACTGCCGAGTTTTTGGCGACCTGATGATTTAGTCGTGCGGATTCGCTGTGGTTACTTCCTTTACGAGGATGAAAGTGCCAGACCTATAACTAATAGGGGAAGGTGGGGCATAACAGGGTACCGGGGCAATATGAGAAGGTGCATTTTATTCTAATCAGGTGTTGCTGTCTGGAATCACTTCTGACAATTTAAACTTCGCTCGTTTGCCGCCCTTTTCCGGTGGACGCCGGCGGGAGGCGGCGTTGCTGAGGATGGCGGGTAAGGTTTTTTCATGGTGCTGATGTATTTTTCAACATTCGTTTGGTAACTTCCTAGGTGAAAATCCGTTCGAGTAGGTTTGTCATAGTCAGTGAAAGCAATGACTCTCGTCCTAGCCAACCTTTCGCTGCGATAGAAAGTTGCCGGCTGTTTTGATAAACATGAACGATCCTGCTCTATTGCCAATGTCCTTCGGGGGTTAAAACGGGTTTCCGGTAGAGGCGATATGGGGTGGTGAATTTTACCACATTTTACCACATTTACCCCATTTACGTGCCCAGAAGTGCTTTTTTTGTTACAGTTAAAACTAGTTGCCTTTATTGGCCCACTCACGTTTCATAAATGCATTTAGAGGAGGGGTTGTGTTAAACGTTTCAAACGTTGTCATAATGTTTATTCATTATAAGTAGGTACACCAGGCACCGTGTATGTGCCTGATATATATTTTTGCCGAGATAAACTCTTTCATTTTCAGTAGCTTGGATCTTGGTTTAAGCGGCGAGTGCACAGGAACGTGCACCCAGCAGCCTGACACAAGTCCCAGATTTTCACCACGCCTTTTATCGTTTGTCGCAGTTCTCGAATGGAGTCAATGCTGGCGCCGCCACCGACCGTCCACCGCTGCAGCCAGGCGTCGCTCTCCTGAAGAAACTGCATGTGTTCTCCCGCCGTTGCTGGATGGAGGCTGGATATCGCGCGTCGCTTTGAGCAGGGGTCGAACCGGGCGGAAGAGTTTAGCACATCGAGCAGGTCGTTGAGGCGCAGCAGGAGAGTAGCAGTCGGGAGTGCAGTGCGCGGGAGCTTGCCATGCCGGGAGCTGAGCTTGCAACCTCGTGCCCGTCCACGGTGAACAAGCCGGTTTCCGCAGCTCCGAGCAGTCTGTAGGTCGCCTGGTTGTTCTTTGACATGTCACAAGTTTCAGCTAGCACAGTGAATCCCGCTGTTGTTGTTACACGTTGGACACACTGTGTTAACAGCTGCTGCTGCACAACGGCCTTGGTCGTTCCGGAACTCAGAAAGAAACCGATGGGCTGTTTCCAGCGTTTGGTGACACTGACGCCCTGCACCATCATGACCAAGGCGTGGTCGGCGCAGGCATTGGCGCGGCAGAGAGAGCCATGATCAGTGAAGCCCTCGATGACGTCATCACCCCGCTGGTAGGCCAACCTTGGTTTCGGCTGCATTTCGTCGAACGAAATGATGCACAGCTTGTCCTTGGCACTTGCTCCGGCGAACTTCTCTTTTATGAGAGCCAAGATAGCGTCATGAAAGCCAGGTCGCATCTGTATTTTTTCCATCTTCCTCCGCAGAGTTCGAGGATGGGGAAGGACGTACCGTTTTTGTAGGAACCGATACGCCCTGGGACCAAGGCCATATATAGTCCTGGGACCCTGAAAGTAGAGCGCGAGTGCTCGCACTTCCTCATCTTCATCAAATTTTAGACGAATTTCATCGAATTTCATTTAGTTTTAGACCAATGTTAAAACTCTAATGCAATGAATATGTATAAATGCTCCCGTAACAATGTGTGCTAAAAGTTTCCAATAAAATATACGGTTACCATTTCAAAGTCACAGTGACAACTTGGCCGGTGGCCCTTGAAGACGAATCATTCGACAATTGTTAAGAAAAAATGTATGAAATGTTAAGAAAATATATGAAAATGTAAACCCACGTGGAAAGAAATTCATCCGCATCCTCCGGATCTCCGGATATTCATCCGGCAAAATCCTTGATTTTTGGTTACACACGTGGCAATGCTAATCGAAGCTTCTGTCCATTCCATGTCGTAGACTATATATTCCGTGCCTTGTATCATCAGGGGCCTCACAACGGGAAGTGATGTCGCTTCACCGCAAGACGAATTTTACATAAATCATGCTACTCACCTATCCACAACTGCGCTGATTTAACCCTCGCCAGCTTCAGTCTCCTCAATTGCTCCTGCTCACCGTTCTTTGCTGACCGCTGACTCTGGCGCTACACTCCGATCGATGTCAGGATTCTCCAACGGCGGGGACATGTGGCTGGCCGAGTACGAGTCACAGGACTTCCGTGGCGAGGTGTCCCGCCTGTGGGACCAGCTGACGCCGCTGTACGAGCAGCTGCACGCCTTCGTGAGGGGTCGCCTGCGCTCGCTGTACGGACGCAGCACGGTCGGCCGCCAGTCGCCCATTCCTGCTCACCTGCTCGGTAAGGGGGGGGGGGGTGAGGGAAGGGTGGATGGAGCCTGGAGGAACAATATGACTGTCAGCTAGCTATGAAGAGTACATTTTTTGCATACGATTTTATTTACAAGTTACAATTCGGCGCTGGTAGATCAATTTGGATATATTTAGACAAGTTAGATGTAGAGATAGCTTTAGATATTGCAATGTTATTTCAAGGATAGCGCTATGTGTATTGTTTGCACTGCTTAACTCTACATTCTACAAAAGGTAGTCATTTGATGTGCCATTATTATTATTCAGACGCCCAGTCCATAATTGATAGTTTTAGGGCTATCGTTCCGGAAGCATGAGTAACTCAGTCTGATGCAGCTACATATATGAACAATGACCCGTTCAATGTGCGATAACAGTCTGATGCATCGAGGTAATCGGCTAAACAATACCCATTTTTCGCACACCATAGCGGGCTTTGTGGCCAATTCTCCTCAAGGACCCGTTACTCTGTCGGTGTACTGAACGGACCCACCAATCCACAGGAACAATGTGGTCAGACAACTGGGTTAACTTGCTGAACGTCACCAAACCTTTCCCCGAGAAACACCACGGAGACGTCAGCGCCATACTTCAGTCTCAGGTGAGGACAGAACACTGCTTCTAAAGTTGGCTCACCAAGTCGACGTAGGATGTGGCATTGCATGAAGTCACATAGCCTTCTGAACGACCTAAAATATTTTTATGCAATGTTCTTTTGGGTGGCTAACATGCATTTTCTTCAGTGGTAATTCAATCGACAGAGATATCGGTTATTTTACGGAGTCAAATGTTGATTTCCCTCAATATTACTGCGTTATTATGCACCGTACCCAGAATGCTGTCATGTACTTATTACTGCACACACTCAGAACGCGCCATGTCACTGACTTATCTCCACGATGGCCTCTGACCCCGCTGACCGGCTGTGACCTCGCGCCCAGGGCTACACCGTGGAGCTGCTGTACCGGGCGGCCAACGCCTTCATCATCACATTGGGACTGCAGTCGGTGCCGGACTCGTTCTGGGAGAACTCAGTCCTGGAGGCACCGGAGGATCCCGACCAGGAGATGATGTGCCGACCGCGCGCCTGGGACTTCTGTAAAAATAACGATGTCAGGTGAGCTAACTGGGTGTTTGAGACAGGGAGATTAGCACTCTTACGTGCCATGCACGTAATATTCAGCGTTGTGTTAAATCTTTTGAAGAAAGGGGCGAAGTTACTTTGAGAAGATTTGTAAGAAATAAATAATAGCCGTCTCGATATGTGGTCATTTTATGGGAAGCAACTTAATGTATTTTCTGGCAATAGCAGTAAGCAGACGTTCGGTAGAAACGCACGTCGATCATAGGCTGGTGAATGTGCCAATATTAGAACTTTGCAAATAAGCGTTATTGACCACCATGTGTACTGGGTAGTGAAATGTGTACAAAGGTACGTTTTCACCCCAGTAACTCTCCGTCCATCCTTCTTTCAGGGTGACTGCGTGCGGAAAGGTGACCCTGGACGACCTGCTGACGGCTCACCGGAAGGTGGGCGAGGCTGAGTACGCCCTCCTGTACAGCAATCAGCCCCACATCTACCGGGGACCCGCAGCAACCGGTTAGTGAGGCGACTTTTGTCTTTCAACCTAACCTTTCAACGTGAAATCGAATCTATCTATATTACTATTTGAGGTGACGTAGTTTCTGTCTATTACGAAGGTCGCGACATGGTGCTACGTAGCGCGGGTTACAGGTCACACCGTTGCACCTACCGCGCTGAAGTTTGCGCAACTCATAGAACAAGGATGGACAACGTGCCTTTGATGGGTCTCAGCTCGATCGGATCGATAGCGAGCGCGTGGCGCGTGCCCAAAAAGTGCAAATTCGCGTCATAGACTTTACATGTATTAATCGGCTGGCAAAAACGGGCGAAAACAGTCAAATTTGCCCGACACGGGTCCGGTCCCGGTGCAATATCTCGGTAACCGTGGGCCCGACCGGTACGGGGAAAACAGCATCGTGTAGAGAATCGAACGGGCTATCGAATGGTGTGCGGTGCAGGGGTTGGCACGCGCCACGTGCAAGTGTGAGGGCAATTTCATTTCAAAAAGTGCCATTTTAAACGGATTTTGGAATTTATATTAATTTCAGGTGATCGTCAGACGGAATGAGTTGAAACAGCACCTATTAGCAATAAAAATGTACAGTCTCTCATGGAAAAATTGTGAAAAGCTAATTTATCAAAAACAATGTGGAAAAAATCGCTGAATTAAATGGTATTTGTCCAAAATGTGCCACTAAATAATTACACGGATTTTGCTGCTTAACCTGATACGTTTGACAATTGAAAATGCTATCATTGGAAAGAGCATTCAATTCTCTCCAGGATCCAATCATCACGTTTGCATGACAAGCAACAGTATTCTTAAAAATATAAATGTTTCGAACCTCTGCAAAACGATTTTTAGCGAAAATTATCTACGCCTTTAATTTGTCATAAAACTACGCGCCTAAATTATAAAACACATTTGACAGATTCTGAAGTGGAAAGCATGCTTATCAGACACGGGCACCTCGATGCGGTGGATATTTTTTTCCAAACCAAAACGTTTAGCCGTCAAAAAGCAATCGACCGAAATGGATAGATAACCCAACCGACACAAGAACAACCAAACGCCCGCCGATCGTAAATACCCCTGTTCGCGTTGCGGAGCACGCGGGTCACCCTAGTAATTCCTACCTGAGAACTAAATAAAAGTACTCGGCTTTTGGTAGATATCTCGTGAATACTTTACCACTGCTGTCCTCCTCTGACGGCTTGGTTAAAATGATCTTATTTTCTATATTGATCCATTATTTCTGCTCCATTCATCCGTACGATTTAGATTAGCCACGAGACTCGTCCTAATTGACATTCTGAACCGTCCCGTCCATTTTCAGGTTTTGGGGACGCCGTGGGCAACACTCTGGCCTTGTCTGTCGTCACGCCAAAGCATCTGGAGTCGTTCGGCCTTATCCGAGATGAGAATGACCCGGAGGTGAGTTCACCAAGTCCAGATCATGGCATATACCTACATGGCCCGTTAAACCCCGTTGACTGTGGAGATTGTTACAGTCATTCATAACGTTTCGCTTGCCTTAGTCAGAACATTAAAATTGCACGAACAAATACAGAATTTCAATCAGAAAACTGTACCCAATTCCGTTGCAAGCAATAGGAAGAGCATTCTTCAATGGGAACGGAAGGGTCCTGTTTCCTCAGTTGTCAGGTCACAGCGATCCTGATGTCGCTGCGAGCCTCCGTAGGCTCGGCAGTCCGCCGGTGATCATTTCCCAGATGTCGCCGCTGACACCTCAGGCCCCTGGCCTCCCCAGGTCGACCTGAACATGCTGATGAAGCTCGCCCTGGAGAAGCTGCCCGCCCTGCCGTACAGCTATGTGGCCGATAGCTGGCGCTGGGGCCTCTTCTCTGGCGATATAAAAGATGACGATCTGAACTGCGCGTGGTGGAAGCTCCGTGGCCGCGTGCAAGGTGTCGCCCCGGCCCGCACCCGTTCGGAGCGGGATATGGACGCTGGCGCCACCTACGATATCGCCCGCCACCAGCCGATGATCGGGTGAGAGCCTGGACGAACTGTCGTGCTCACGTTGGTGTTGCAACATAATGGAACTTATCTCACCCTTCACACTGTGAATTTGTCTCGACTTTGTCCAACGTCAAGCATTTTGTCACTTGAATATTGAAATTTGGTGGAGATATTTGTAAGAACAAACGAAAGCTTGCCGTCTTTGTTGATGCCTAATTTCTGTTCTGTCGTCCCGCTTCCCGATTTTCTTCTGGTGTTTGTGGTCACCTTATGACTGCAAAAACAGTCTTACGTCGCTCTAACCTACATTCTTCTTCTTTTCCAGCCGGTTTGTGTCGACGGTCCTTCAGTTCCAGCTTCACGAGACCCTGTGCAGGACGGCTGGCCAATACGACCCGAATGACCCCATGAAGCCCATGTACCGGTGCGACATCTACAACGACCAGAAGGCTGGAGCTCTGCTAGCGTGAGTAGGGAGTGAGCGCGATGGAAAACAGTTTAGGTACTCGTACCATAACCAACAATTTATATTTTCATGTCGCGTAATGGCGGCAGACCTTTTTTCGCATTCTTTTAGTTTCATGGAATGCACAATCTCAATGCCCTATATGGAATGCCAATCCAAAGCACACACTTTAAAGGAACATGTTTCGCTCGAAGTATCGGTTAAAACGGATGGCTAGGTAATTGCATCGGGTACACTAAGGGACTGCAGTGAAGAGGCGTTTATTCAGCAGGCTTAGTGAGTATGTGTAGCGTAATGCAGTGACATGCTTATGTAGGCTGAAGATCAAAGTTGCAGATGTTTAACGGAAGGTTATCAAACGTTTACTGGCGATTTGCGCAATGCACAACCCTCTGTCAATGAGTGCCCTAAGACGGATACAGCAGGTATGGAGCGATCTGCCCAGTCCGCTGACACTATGCGCTGTATACCTTCAGGCGGATGATGCAGCTGGGTCGCTCCAAGCCGTGGCGCGAGGCCCTGGAGGCGGCCACCGGTCAGCGCGAGCTGAGTGCCACCGCACTGCGCGACTATTTCCAGCCTCTGGAGGACTGGCTGCGCAGGGAAAACCAGGAGAAACGCTACCCGATCGGCTGGAAAGCCGACGCCAACGGTAAGACGGAGCAGCTGATGGACTTGCTTACAAACTTTTCCGACCGTGTTTCTCAACGAATTAGCAACAAAATGATGGATAGTTGACCGCATTTCAGTCAATTCTGGCGTGACGTATTCCCTGGGAACACGGGACGTCACACCCACCGCCGCCGAGGACGGTCGTAATTGATCTTAATTGACCTTGTAAAGGTCGAGAAACAATTCTGGAGGCGTTTAGGTGAAAACTGAACCACATATTCGGAGTCAGGACCTCAAGAAACCCTACTAAACACAGCTCATATCACAAAGGTCATCGTGTGAACATGCGAGGTCATTGACCTTGGTTGGCCTTAGACAAATTAATATACAATGTAAAGATTCATGTCCTGTGAACCCGCGCCCTGATGGGGTCTGACGAGCAACGCGCCCTGATGGGGGAGGCATTTTGCACCCCTCCCCTAAGATCTTGAGAACTACGCAACATAGCGACAAGCAGCAAACCGCGTTGGATAGCGCCAACGGGGAACTACTTTGTGACCCAATTTCATTGACCTTGGTCTAACCGATGATGTCACAGGTCAGGTCTTACAGACATTTCAAGAAATGCGTTGTAAAATCGAGTAAAATGCATGTCACTGAAAATCTTCAATGGGGACTTGCCCATCAAACACATATTTTACCATTTGAGGTTACTGATACCAGGTCACAGAGGTCAGGTCACTACGGGTCAAAATATGAAAATATCTTGTGATGCATGTTTTATGGTTCATTTTACATGACAAATGCGATTATGTGGGTCAGCCAACCTTGGGGGCCAGTTAAGGTTATGTTTTGGTAGGTCAGGTCAAGGTCAGGTCAAATTAGGCCAACTTTCAAAGTTCTTATTTTTGTAACAAACGGGTATCGATTCGATGCAGCTTGTCACGGGGAGTCTAATGGTGGTCTTTGTTTTGCATTACGTGGTCTCGAGTTGCTACTAAAATTGAGTTCGAATATTTGACGTCATCAGTTTTGAGCAGTTTTTTTTTTTTGCTATAACAAGGCCAAAAAAGGAGGTAACATTTGGTATGTAGGTAGAAGAGGGCAGGGACTATCATATATATTCCGGTTTTTCGAAATTCGAAAAAGAACTTTTGGCCGCAGGGCTGCGGAATCGGAGTCAGAGTCGGAGTCGGAGTCGGTCGGAGTCGGAGTCGGTCGGAGTCGGAGTCGGTCGGAGTCGACAGTTGTGACCGGAGTCGGAGTCGGAGTCGGAGTCGATTTTAGAAACCCGAGCCGGAGTCGGAGTCAGAGTCACCGAAAATCTGTCGACCCCGCAGCCCTGCTAGGCCTGCGGAGTCGGAGTCGGGAGTTGGAGTCGGTCGGAGTCGACAATTCTGCCCGGAGTCGGAGTCGGAGTCGGAGCTGGTTTTTGAAAGCCGGAGTCGGAGTCGCCGAAAATCCATCGACTCCGCAGCCCTGCTTTTGGGATTGTTTTGCTGTTTTGTAAAAAATCAAATTTTATATTATTTCGGGTCACAATTACAAAATTTTGAAAATCAGTGATAGGAGTTATGTAGCACCGTCTTTAGCAGGGCTACGGAGTCAGAGTCGGAGTCTGTCGGAGTCGGAGTCTGTCGGAGTCGACAGTTGTGACCGGAGTCGGAGTCGGAGTCGATTTTAGAAACCCGAGCCGGAGTCGGAGTCGGAGTCACCGAAAATCTGTCGACTCCGCAGCCCTGCTAGGTCTGCGGAGTCGGAGTCGGGAGTTGGAGTCGGTCTGAGTCGACAATTCTGCCCGGAGTCAGAGTCGGAGTCGGAGCTGGTTTTTGAAAGCCGAAGTCGGAGTCGGAGTCGGAGTCGCCGAAAATCCATCGACTCCGCAGCCCTGGTCGTCCGTCTTTCTCAACACGACCATTTAAAGAGCTTAAATTGCTTGTTAACTGTAGGTTTTGTCAGCGTTTCAAGATTTCATGTTTTTGTGTGCTCATTTTTGCTTGAACATGACCTCAGTTTGACCTCAATAACTCTTGACCTAAGATGACCTACGACTTAAAATTTTGTACGACGGTGTCAAATTGATATCTCAAAAGGCCCTGAAAATTTGGCGGCGCTGCACGCCGCCGTTTATTTACTATTCAAGAAAAACCACGGGGGGGACAAAATGTCCCCACCCCATCAGGGCGCGGTTTAAAATCTGACATAAATACACGGAAGCGTTTCGCTCTTCTCGATGAGATCACGCCCAGTTACGCGGAATGTGCGACTTTGTCAAAAACGGTCGGAGGTTGTGCCTATTATGACGTCATAGTTCGGTGAATTAACATGACCCGGCAATAATTGTTTACCAAAAGATGCGCAAAGGATGCCCATACGATAGGCTATTGAATGTTTTAGTACGATCCGCCTAATGGTTCGGCGCCCATTGCAAAAAAAAATTAAGGGGAGGGGTCGCATCGACCCCCTGCCAGGACGAGGATTAAACTATTTAATTAGCAGAAGTTGTTATGTTAGACTTAATACAAAAGTATTGACATTTTTGAAGCAAAGAAAATGTTTCCATGGGTATGCAAAAATATACAAATATTTAAGATGACGTATTCAATATAAATATCTTGCACAATGCATTTTCTTTTAAAACCTTATAAGCAAGTACCTGACCACTCACTCTTCATTTCTCAAGCCTCTTTAGCTGGTAGCGAAAGATTCTTTTGTCCCTTAAAACTTTGCAGATCTTTGTGTATCTCATCGACAAGCATCAAATGCTTATTTGTTCCTGAAAGGTTAAGCTGAAAGTTGTGTGACTTTAAACGCATTGCCAGAGTGTTGGTTGAAACATAAAACCTGAATATTTTTATGAGAGCAATGCGCGCAATTAATGTAGCATATTTAATCATCAATTAAACCAACGCAGCTTCGAAAATATATTCATGCTTCTCAGCAGCAACCACACAAATACTGGACAGTGTCGTAACACACATACAAGCACACACTCACGCAGCTATTCTTACAGATATTTCATGGAAAATCCGGTTACAGCTCTTGAAAAGCTGTCACATTCGAATACATTGGTAACACGCAGTGCCAACTTAGTCATGAAGACGTCTAGTAGATTCCGTATCCAAAGCGGTTGCCAAGGAAGCGGTTACCGAACAGTCCGTTACCATAGAAACGGTTGCCGAACAGTCCGTTACCATAGAAACGGTTGCCGAACAGTCCGTTACCAAAGAAGCGGTTACCGTAGAGTCCGTTGCCGTAGAATCCTCCACCGAGGAAACGGTTACCGTATCCGCCTCCGAAGAAGCGGTTTCCTAGGAATCCGTTTCCATAGAATCCGTTTCCATAGGCGCCGCCGAATCCGTTGCCGAAGATTCCGCCTCCGAGGAACCTGTTACCTCCATAGAAGCCCCTGCTGTAGTAGTAGTTGGGGAAGTAGTACCTGCGGTAGTAGCTGGAAGAGAAGGCCCCCGGGTAGTAGTAGCTGCCTCCGTAGAAAGAGGCTGAGGCGGCCGCCACCAGAGCGAAGAGAAGGACCAGCTGAAACAAGGCAGAGGCCAGCATAAGACGGTGTGCCGTTGCAAACTTTAAACGGGATGAGCGGTGAAGTTTATACTGTATTTTTTTTTTTAAATTCCTTGTTCTGGCGAATCTCACCAACCCAAAACGTGTTAAATAGACATTATCACGATTTGAGCCAGTGAGATGTGAACTTAACACGCGCTTGGTTTTTTAGATGTACCAGGATAACACGGAAGTGTGTAAATATTTTTTGACAGTGCATGCTGGTTGCTTGAACATGAGTGATTTATTTGAAATATATAAATTGAAAGGGTATTATTATTACACGTCTCTCCCTTGCATGAGCGAAGACATGAGCATGTAAAAAGTTAAACATTCACTTCAAGAGGGATAACCATTTGACTGCTGAATTTACGTCTTAATTATTTCACCCAATATATCGGCAAACTTAGCTTTAGTTCCACTTTCAGAAAAGTAAAAATAACATCAAGTGGCAAAGGTCATTTCGCGTCAGTCCGACTCCTGCACGTACCTTCATCTTGCAGCCAGGGCTGTTGGAAGTGTTATCTTGTGCGGGCTTGGAGGAACTGATACCTGAACCCAAGTAACCCTCCGTTTTATACTCTGGTTCTGAGTTATGTTCCCACAAACTCCAGTTGTGCACTGGATATAGCAAATATTCCTGGTCACGCGCGTTGCGGAAACGCTGCACTGGGAGAGCAGTGAGGAAAATACCAGTCCTGCTGACTAGATCAGGACACAGATTAATGGCCTTCATCTCAATGGCGCAGAAATTCCCCATTGTAACGAGATAATGCATGATGTTTGGCAGTCCCATGGGATCTATGCCTGTTAGACAAACGAATGGTTATGAATTATTGATTCTATCAGCTATATAAAGTAATTTGTCGTTATAAGATTTGTAGCCTTTTCTCGAATTATTTAACGAAAATATGTAGAGCATTGGTTTAGCTCTGTAACGCTTTGATTTACCTTATTGCCTCTCTCATCTAATATTTGATTGATTGAAATAAACAAGAGGAAAAAAGTTAACCCTCGCACGACCAGGCCATTTCTCATAACACGAACGACCAGGGCCCGATTTCACCAAGTGAATATATTCTTGGTGTACTTTGGAAAAGTACACCGACAAAGTACGACGACAATACTATTCTGTTTCACCACAGGAATATATTCACTACGCCCGCTTTACGTAGTTTGAGAGCCACCGGCGCGCATGCATACATCTTGTCGGGGACATGCATTCACTATGTATTTTTTTCCGTATTTAAAGTCGACGAGCTTAAATGCTCAGATATACAATATTATGAAAAATTCTGGCTACGCTATACTCTGTTCCAACTCTGTTCCGTTTCAAGTTTGCAGCCGAAGTGCCCTGCTGAAGGCAGTGCGTGATTTCTATATATACAGCTCTTGCATTTTAAGACACAAATTCTTGAGCGGAGGCATAGCGGAGGAGCGATCTGCCGAAGAAACTCCAACTGCAAGCTTGATATGGAACAGACTATAATAAGAATTAAATTTGCTGATCATACAAGAGGAAGTGCCTAAGGAAATATTGCTAATAATGCTCTTGATTTTTGCTCGGAGCATGACATTCCAAAGCCAAGCCAAAATGTAAACAATCGGCAGCAAGCCGCGCAGCACAGTTGGAGTTACTGGCGTGTGTGGGTTTTGTGGATTTTGAATTAATATTAATTTTTTCTTCCAAGTTACTTCTCATTAAATATTGCTTTGATATTTGCTCACATCTTCTACGCAATTCTGGAGTGGTTTAGAGCAAATATAAATAAAGCCGAACAAGAAATGGCATTACTTGAGGCACCTATCTAACTACCGATCACTGATGGTAGCAAGGAGCACGGCCGACTAGCCGACAAGTTATCTGAACTATTACCTGAATCAAGTTTTTAAATAATCGAAGGGTCTACCGACGACTTCAAATATGGATAATATTTCGGAATCATTCTCTGAACCTAAACGGAAGCGGGAAGCCGGTGATAAATTGAATCATTTGGCCACAACACAAGAGAAATATGGACATTGGACAGCATATGGATACTGCAAAGAAATAGTAAAAGTGGGCGATGAAAACGAATGTAATGAAGCGTTGTGACTTGTGATACAACATGCTGGGCATGTCAATCAAGGCGTTGCTAGACTGGACTTCAGTTCTTCCTCTCGCCCTCGCCAGCTATTTACTTTCTCTTCGGTAAAACGCTGTATAAAGAGCACGGTGTAATAATCACGGTGAGAAAGATTTGAAACGCTTTTGGCCTTTTGTGTTATCAAAATACAATGTGAACTGTCGTTTTTTTTTAAGTGGAAAACTCAATAATGTAATCGGGAATGCGAATGAAAAAGGGAATTCCCTGTTGTGTTTCTGCATGATGGGGTGATTTTAATCGCAGTGATGCCACGATGAGATAAGCCTTATAAAAATAGCTGTTCTGGGGTTTAATTTCAATATAAGCCCTGACACACGATACCCTATATATCCAGCAAGAAATAACCATTATGACATCAAAAACTTTTTGCGTAGCCTGTGGCATGTTTTTATCATACGTTGCATCGACGAAGTCATTAAATTTGTAACATTATCATACAAAAAAATTGATGTATGCCAAGCTGTTTCTCAAAGTATGCCACAAAAAGTAGCATACTTTCAATGCCAGCAAACTCGGCAAACAGCTGTTGAAAAAGCAGATCGGCGTACCAGAGGTACCTCAAATGTAATAGTATGCCAAAAAACGACGGACTTCTGCAGTCATACTTTGTCTTTGTCTTGAATAAGTATCCCTGTACGGAGTTTGGTGAAACTGAATATGTCATAATATGCCAAAAGTGAATATGTACGCCGCCGTAATGGAATATATTCACTTGGTGAAATCGGGCCCAGGGGGGTGGGGGTTGTTACGACCCCCCCCCCTGGCGTTTCGAAACGGAAGGTCGTAGAGCTTAGCGGAAAAAACCAACGGATTGCTCTCAACGAGATCTCGCGATTGGTGGTATATTTTTGGTCCTAGGTCAACATTTGACCTACTTATGACCGGTCAAAGGTCAGATTTTCGGAAAAATCTAACTTTTTCAGATTTCCGCGCCGATTGCGGCAAAACGGTAAGAGATATCGACTTGAAACCTTCACTAACGTGATCCTTGATCAATTCTCTATCGTTTGGTGTGTATTTCGATGTCATAACTTTAAAAATGATGCGTTGGGAGCATCGGAAGTCTGCAAGGTCATTTGTCCATTGGGTCACGTCAGGCGTGTGACGTCACTGACCTGACCCTGACCCAAAATGAACTACAAGAAACAACCGACGATGCCTGAAATGGATAGCAAATTCGAATTCAGGGCATCAAAATACCCCGAAATGGCATACAAGTGCAAGAAGTCATTACAGGTCAACCGAGGTCAATGACCTTACCTTGACCTTTAGTGACCTTCAAAATGTCAACGGACATTGTGCCAATGTCAAATCAGCCAGTTGTGATTCTATAAAACAATCCATCAGTGCGTCAGGTCAGTCGGCATTTATACCAATGTGAAGCAATCTCCAATTTAGCGTAAATCTGGCCGGAGGTTGTTCCCTTTATGACGTCATAACTCCGTGACCTGACATGACCTTGACAAAAAAAATTACCAAAAGTTGCGCAAAGGATGCCCCAAAGGGTACTGAAAATTTGAGCAGGCTATCTGAAACGGTTCTGCGTGTAGCTAAGAAAAACCTCGGGGGGGGGGGTTGATACAACCCCCCCCCCCCTAGGCGTTCTAGGGTTAAGAACGATTGGGTTCAATCTAAATTCAATGCGTCTAAAATCAATCCATCTAAAGATCGATTATTTGCCAAAAATATAACAGCCATCTAAACGATATCAGCTTGCAACAGTAAACCGTAACTATTACTGATGACAATTACTTACTACTGACAATAATTAATTAAACAGTGGGGTATGTCCCTACTAATTCCATTTCTGACCACCATCGCTCTGTCGCGTTTCCTCAGATGACAAATGTCGGAAACCAACGCCGAAAGCGCCAAAGAGCAAGTCTTCCAAGGGTCGTGCCATCACCAAGGATGAGCGCGAGCGGTATGACACCCGCACCGCCAACTCGGCGGTCCAGCCGACACCGGGAACGGCGATGGTCGCACTCATCGCCCTGTTCTCTGCCCTGCTGGCCGGACTCTGAAGGAATGATGTCAAAGGAAACGGGTGTGATTTTGGAAGGAGCCGATGGCGCATGTGGTAGAAACTGGTGTTGTTGTGAATTAACTGGTGGAACACCGAAGGAACTGGTGTGAGAAGGATTTGATTTTGTTTTGGATGAACTAGTGGGCATTGAAGGCACTATGGAGCGCTCACGTGTAAAGTGTGTGGTGAACGATGTTGATCATAATGTACACCGAAACTAAGGAGAGAATGTGGCGCTTGCATAAGGTTGTATGTAGGGCATAAACTGCCGTACATAAGTAGATACATTTTAGATTAGAGTTGAACGTCACTTTACCCTTTTGAAGGGCATTGTCATGCATTGTTTAAAATTATTTTACCGCTTTCAACCTGAGCCTGGACGTATTCGTAGGGGGCACCATTACGTAGAATACTTATAATTCAATCAAAGCGTTACGTAACTCGGTAAGTACCGAGCCACAACATTCGGCTAATATTTTATGTCAAGGCCTATTGCTGTGTTGTGACGCATGTCTGCCAGTGGTGAACATACTGGACATGGTGGGCGGTGGCCGCCGCTGTCAGTGCGTGAAACTCTGAGGCCGATTGTTCGATCGCTGCTGCACGGTGGTTGCGGAAATGCAGAGCGAAATAAGGCTGGGCGTGCACTCTGCACCCCTAGCGAGCATAGATTGCAGATAATGTTTGCAACGCATAGCTGGCTCTGCTTTAGAAATTCCTGAAAGCCACTGCACTGCAGCCATGGTAAGACACAAAGGCGGGCGAAGGCGTTGTAAATGAACTCGTGTACTTGCTACTTCTGAACGTATTTATTGCCATGAAAATCGAACTAGATTTAAGATCGTAATTAATCTGAGCATATTAATGGTTTAAGTTAAGTGATTATAATAAACGTTTATATAGCACATGTTCATTTTGATATTGATCATGTTATTGGAAACATTTTTACTACACTTCACGCTTTGATTCAATTCAAATCCGTTGTGCCTGCATATATGCTATAGCATATGACCGTACGTAATCGCGGAAAACTTTAATGTCTTTTAACGGAAATGTTTCAGAAGGTCCCCCCTTACTACTTAGTAAAGGGGAAACACAATTTAATCATGAACAATTTACCCTGAAACTGTTTTTAACGGTAGAAAATTGTTCGATGCGGCATCTGCGAATTTTAGATTTAAAATCGTAGCTTCGTTTGTAGTAAAGTCGTTTTCAGAGAATAGATCACAAGGTTGGATGATGGCTTTTTATTGTTATTTTTAACATTTCTTACGGCACTAACAGTGTCAGCAATAATAAGGCATTGCATTATTCTTGATACCTCGTTATTCCAATCACAAGGCTTAGAGCCGGGAGCAATGCAGCACGCTCGTGATATGATCTTCATCTCTTGCAAAGAGTCACGGCGGAAGATTACGCTGTACTACGCCTGAAATCCGTCGGCTCCCGCGTGATCTGCGGTTTTCTGTTACAAACAACGGTCGCCTGCTCTGGGTCTTTACCTGCGTGATAGTGGGCTGAGTCCGGTTCCCGTAGTCGCGTGCAGTTTCCCAGTATTGTCCGAAGAATGGTGATGACGTAGTGATATATACTGTAAAAGATTTGTCTCACGCTAAATTGAAAGTTATGTCTAAAAACGGTACAGTTTTGTTTTGAATGTTTATTTCATTGTGAGAGCATTTCAAATGAAAGTAAAGCTGTATCATTTGACACATGTATCGTACTCAACCCACGACGTTCAGTCATGTTCATGAATCATGACAGCTGACGTGACCATGGGGTGTCAAAAGTGGAAATAGCCGGTGCGCCGTCTGGCAACCCGGCGGCCCGCCGCCATAGGGAAATTCATGTTTTTTGTCGCCTTTTCGCTCCCTATGAGTCACTTGATCTAATTAGAGCTAGGAACGAGGCGGGTCACTTGGACGTATTCGGGAGCCGAATACGGTGTTTTGGAGCCAATACCTGGGAAACCCTACCCGCCCAATGCGAGTTTTTAAGAGTCTGCATGCCCAAATTAACGTTGAGCGCGGCCGTTTTCGATCGGTTTTCCCCGACCTTGTGGCGAAATCGCCTTATTTATTCAACCAGGGTGGGCTAATTCGCTTAACTAGGAACGAGGCGTTGAAGAGAATTATTCAAGGAATAGAGCTGTGCAAACATATTTTTTGTATTGTTAAAACTGTATCCGCCCTCGAACGATAAATATTGTTGATCCATCAGAAACACATCACCTGGAATGCGTTTGGACTTGGCTGGATCTAATATTAGCGAGTATCTGCTAATGCAGTTTCTTGGCTTACATAGTACGGACACAAGTATACATACTTCCTGCCCTTGGTTATTCCTCACTTGAATGAAAACTTTGCTATAATAAATATTCCAAGCAGTTAACAGGTTTTAGTGCAGTGCCAATTCGGAACCGTTCAGCGCCGCCAGTCTCCCAGGCGGCGCGTAACGGCTGCCGCCGGCCGCCGCGCCGCCGCTCTGGCAGGGTGTTTGACTTCATATCTCTGTTGCTAGAAAAGTTGTGGACCGATTTACTTGATTCTTGCATGAAAAGATCCGCCATTCAATTCTTAGCAGACAACGAAAATTTGACGTCAATTGCACGATCCGCTGCCCATATTGTGGTACTGCCATCTATTGACAAGGCTGGCGAACTAAAGCCGGTCGGCTATTTCCACTTTTGACACACCATGCCCAGGTCGACACTTTAAGCAAGCCCAGTTGAGCATATAGTTGAGCATACATGACTGTTTAGAGAACTGCGATTGCCTTTGCTCAGTCGTCCCGCATACCAGACAAACTTGCCGTTAATGCATTTTTTTATTTCGTGCTGGCTGATCTTCACTTTCCCAGGCTCAGTGACAGGGAATCAGACGTGTAGCGATGCTGAGTGTGATCATGGTTTTCAGATGTTCTCATGAGCTACAGTGAGTCTTGGCTTTGATTGTCAGACAATTCGTCGTCAGACTTGACCCCCTCTAGGTGACCCGTAATAGCTCTCTAAACAACACTAAGCGGCCTCCTCAGCATTTCGCTCACATATGAGCTTAAGCGTCACATAAAATGACCGGCCATAAGGTCCTAAGTCCTTTTTTCTCCTATTTTTTAGGTCCTCCTATTTTTTATTCAGTATGTAGCTATTGATATTTTATTCCCAGCAAAATCGGTTTAAAAACAAATAAAGGTTAGTTTTATACGCCACAAATGGACAGCAAACTATATGAGTACCTACTTTATATCATCCTCGCTCTGTTGCTTCTCAAGCACGCTTTGTTAGTGCTCCAGGAAGTTAGGTCAGGAAAAGCCATATCGAGCGCTGGCCTTATTTCATAACAGGCCGCATAACTATTACCTACTCAATAACTGCAATGGAACCACGGCAAAGGCGATTTCGCCAAATCGTAAAAGTAGTAAAAGTCATATCCGGCGGAAAACGGCATGCTGAGGGGCCTCAACGAGACAGCAAAATAAAATAAGGTAGGCTGTCCGTGTGAGCTATGGCTTTGATGGTTAATCTCTCTGTTATTGTCTGTGCACTATCTGGGCGGAAATATTGCACGCGTTGCTCTCAATACCCCCACCGGAAGACCGGCCGTTTGATCAGAAGTGACCTAGCTGGCAGCCTTTCTTGAGTTTCCTTTAGCGTCCGCCCCAATGCCGCTCAAGGCTTCGTTATATGATTCTTTTTTCGTCGTTCCGTATACATTCCCTTGTCTCTATCCCTTGAACCCTCTTTGCACTCTCCATCCATAACTTCTGCGTGCTCCATCCCACTCTTTCACTCTTCTTGCAACCCATTTCCATGCACATCAACGAAACAGTACCTAACCAGTGTTTCATCTCCAAATCCATTCCTTTCCAGCCCATCCCTTTCAACACCACTGTCCTGTATTCAGTCAGCCGCGCCCATGAACCGAATGACACGCTCAGACAGTCAGATATCATTTATCAGATGCGATGGGCGGCCGGGCGGGCTCGCGGGCGGCGCCTGCCGGCCGGCCGGCCGCCTGGCGGCTGGCGCTCGCGCCTGCGCGCCTAAACACCACGCCCTCGCCGCGCCTGCGCCTGGGTCACCGACCGACCGACTGGCTAGTCCGCTCGCCCGGCCGATCCACCAGCGATACAGCGGTCAGTGACGGACGAGTGCGCTCCAGTGGCAGAGAGACGGGCTGATCACGAGTTTAGGAGCTAACAAGACGCAGCCATGAGCGGTAACGGAAAGAAGGTTGGCATCGTAGGGAGGTGAGTTGGGAAGGGGTTTTGGGGAATGTGAGGGATGCGTCATGTGCTAATTGTGGAGCGTTATTGTCGCGCTCAGTTATTCGCTGTTTGATATCTAGCTCTTGGGGACATGGTGTGATCCAACAACAATGGAAAGAACAGGAAATGTAGTGCGATATATGTAGGACAGAAAATGGTCGCTGAGCATGCAAGTGTATTTTCGTCATTTTATGACATGATTTGGGGATGTACAAACACGAATAGCCGCAAGGTATAGTTCATGAACTCAGTTATCATAAGTGACAGTTGATCTGGGTGACTGACCCACCAATCATCACCCCTCTGATGTGTGACCCGACCCACCGTTCGGCGTTCACCTCCCGCCTGTGTGTGTCTGACCTGACCTGGTTGGTAAACTTACCCACCGTTCCGTGCCCCTTCGATGTGTGACCCGATCCACCACTCATCACCCCTCCGATGTGGCTGATCTGACCTACCGGTCACCAACCCATCCGTATGTGTGACCCGACCCACCGTTCACCACTCCTCCGGTGAGTGACCTGACCCTCCGATCACCTCTCGTTCTTCCGTGTGTGTCTGACCTGACCCGCCGATCACCTCTCACTCCTCCGATGTGTGACCTGACCTGGCCCACCGATCACCTCTCGCCTCTCTGCAGCGGTCTGATCGGCCGCAGCTGGGCCATGCTGTTCGCCGGAGCCGGCTACCAGGTCCGCCTTTTTGATGTCGTGTCGTCACAGGTGAGCAACAGTACAGGGAGGGATTTGATTTCTGAACGTTAAGCTGGCTCCATTAGGCCAGTCTGCTTAGCGTCCTATCGGTTCAAGGATGGGGATTAGAATGGCACATGGTTCCGGCGTGGTTTACGGGATTTGTTTGGGACAAGAAAAAAAATAAACGGTGTACCGATAAGGGGAATATTTAAAAATACTTGAAGGTCATTTAGGTATTGCGTCCCTTAAACTATTAGCTACAATGCGACGTGACAAATTTCTTACTCCACTTTTACTATGCTCCAGTGAGCGAATAGCACGAGTGTTAGAATTGTAACTCGATTTGGGTTTTGTGTCTGGTGGTTGCATTTCTAAATAAAGTCGACAATCCCTCGCTAAACAAAGTGATCGGTCTTCACTGCTTTCGAGTGACCTCCAGACTTGTCCTCCAGATTCCCAGTGCGCTGGAAGATATCAAGGGCCAACTGGAGCGACTGAGTGCCAGTGGTCTGCTCAGGGGCACTCTCTCGGCTCAGCAGCAGATGGAACTCATCACAGGTCAGCGCCCCACTCACTGTGGCGTCCGCAGGTGCCTCACTGGCGCACTGCCTGCTGATCAGGGGTTATTGTCGGGCAGCAGTGACGGGTTGGTTAAATACAGCGATGTGAAATGTCACCCATTTGAAGCGTATTGAAGCGTGCCCCTGCACTTCCTTATTCACTCATCTCCAGGCTGCAAACCCGTGTTGGCCGTGTTACAGCTGAACTTGCTGCTCGAAAAATTTGAGCTCATCCATCAAACCATTTTCATTTCGAGGTGCGACGGTCTATGCTCCTACCTGCATTTTTACATCACCGTCTCTCGAGTACACTTCATGCCCAAACGGCAAACATCTGTCTTGACTCTCTGATTTTCGCCCTTAGCCCCGAAGTATAGCTGGCGCGACCTGACCTGACCCCTCCCAACAGGTGCCAGCGAGCTCTCCGACTGCGTCTCTGGCGCCGTGCACGTCCAGGAGTGTATCCCCGAGAGCGTGGAACTGAAGCAGAAGATGTTCGAGCAGCTGGACGCTCTGGTGGACGGCACCACGGTGATGTGCTCCTCCACCTCCTGTATCGCTGCCTCCAAATTCACCCAGAATCTCAAACACCGCAGCCGCTGCCTCGTGGCGCACCCGGTAAGTACCTTATTGTAGGTCGACGTTAGAGATGTCAGTCGGATACCAACTTTTCCGTATATCAGTATCAACCCGATGTGGATTTAGCATCTGGTTATTTCCCATATATTTTTCATTTTTGGCGGTCTTCTTGAAGCATCACTGATGCATTAGATGTTTCGAATTTGGTAAAAGTTGGCATTTCTCTCAATAATCCAACTCTGTTTACGCCTGGTTGGTTCATGGTTATCATATCGGTTTCCTGATTGTCTGCGACATCACTAGACTCGATGTCATGCGTGGGACTGCGTTTCGAGCTTGGTAACTCTGGTATGATAAGGCAGTTTTGTCGAGAGGCTTGGCTGTATCAATAAACATTTAAACTGGATAAACGGTCGAGCCATATGCATATTTATATAACGTAAACGCGTGCCCAGACTGTGCCAGCCCAACCTTGAAGTAACACTTTGATGTGAATGCTGCCCATAGCTGGCATACTACCCAGCACGTTTGTATTTTGTGACAATTATTCAGCAGACTCTTCAACCAAAACTAATGCTATCGTTTAGTTTTCTTATCGATTTAAGTAATTTTTCACATGGTTGTTTTTGCCGTCTGTTGAGGCATATTACCGCCATTATAAGAAATCCTTACAATTTCCATGGGTGGAGCCCTATTTATTGACTTAGTCCGTCCATGCCGTCAGCCTTGCCCGTATCGCTGTTTTTTTTTTTTTTTACCATAAAGCGACAAAACCCGCCGACCTGCCCCGCCGTTGACAGATAACCCAGCCATCCCATATAACCACTATACACCAGTACATGGACCAACTCATGTTAATTCTCCCACCTGCGTGCATATGACCCCCTCGCCGGTCACAGGCGGACTGTTTCGATGTAGCACCCTCCCTGCCTAGTGCCTGTGATGCAGTCAAACTGTTCCAATGCTCCCTCTGCCGCCGTTTCCAGGTGAACCCGCCCTATTATGTGCCTCTGGTGGAGCTGATTCCGGCCCCCTGGACTGACCCGGAGGCGGTGACCCAAACTCGCCAGCTGATGATCGAGATCGGACAGTCACCAATCAGCCTCAACAAAGAGATGCCAGGCTTTGCCCTCAATAGGATCCAGTAAGAACTGGCGAAGGGATTAATAGTATCAATGTGCTTATTGATTCAGAATTGGCTAAATAACTCAAAATATTGTTTTTATCGTTGAATCGGTATTAATTATTTGTTACAAGCTGCACGTGTTAATAACGCATATGCTAGTATCATTATGACGGTGCCAAATCTGTGATAATCATGTTTTTTTCGTGTACCTTATATGTATATTGTTGAATCCATCAACATCAAAACAAAACATCACATCATAACTTGTAATCATGACTATTGATTAGTTTGTTTCGTTTTGTTGTATTTTCTTATATTTATTTTTCTCGACTGCTTTGTCGTTTTCCTCACCAGCACTATTACGCAAATCAGTTTTTTTATCTTACTAGCTTATTACATCCCCACTTCCCTATACGGTGTCTCCATAATATGCTCGTGCTCCTCCGCCTACGTGCAGGTACGCCATCCTAAACGAGTGCTGGTACCTCGTCTCTGAGGGCGTGCTGAGCGCAGAGGACATCGATACTGTGATGAAGGACGGACTGGGCCCTCGGTATGCCTTCATGGGTCCGCTGGAAACGGCACATCTTAACGCTGAGGGTACGTCGACCTAGACTCTAGAGGATGTTATCGTGTCAGGTCACTGAATGCGGCGAAGTCTCAACTTATGCATTGGTTTTGTCGGATATAATTCGCGAATGGTCAAACTAATTTGCATTTCCTTAGGAATAGGGAAATAAGGGATATGGCTCATATCTACATGATTTGAAATGCAGCACTTGAATTACGTGAATAAGTGCGTCACATTATTGTTTATCAATGGCTCGCACAAATAGCAAACAATGAGCGGTTGATCTAATGATACCCCGGCTTTCAAACACCGTTCCAGGCATGCTCAACTACTGCGAACGGTACGGCTCGACTATTGAGGGCGTCTCCAAGACGCTGGGGCCCATCCCACACTGGGGCGGCGCTCAGGCTGAGGAGATCCATCGCCAGCTGACAGCGATGGTCCCGCTGGAGAAACTGCAGGTGGGAGCCGGCGCCGGTGAACGAAACAACCAAAAGCATAGCCATAGGCAACGACATGGTTGTGAACTATGAAGTTAGCCTTCCATCTTCTGTCAGTACGGTGGCTCCATTTGGTCAGCTCGACCGCGAAACTGATCTACTGCTTCAGAGTTCTGCCGCTAGAGGCGCTGCGGCAAGGGAACTTGAAGCTTGCAGCCTGGTAGACTGCTGTGTTGGCTTAGTTTTTGGTATGGTGTTAAGTTTTAACTGACCTTTAGTGTTAACAAAGTGGCTCGTATTTTTTTTCAGGAGCGCCGTGCCTGGAGGGACGCTCGCCTAACAGCCCTGGCTAAGCTGAAGAAGGATGCTGACAAATGAGCCCTTAGTCTCCGACTTAGCAATGAGTTGTCTTAGGATCCAACGCGTCCGGGGTACAACCGTATGTGCCTGACGTCAGATACCAGAGATATTATTTTGATAAAATACAAACATTGGGTATTAACGAGCGTTTTGTTGAGACTGTGCTCATCAGGGGTGTAACTTTTGCTTTTGAGATGGGGGTGCACTTGGTGATGGGGGCGACCTTCAGTGAGGATAGGGGCGCTTCCAAGGAGTATACATGGTGCATATCTCTCAACAGGCGCGCACACAGGATTTTTTAACGGGGGGGGGGCACGACCTGCAAACTGGGGCCCTCCATGCCGAAGGACCACAGACCCCAGCCAAAAAAGTTCCCCAACGTGATTATATTTCGGTCGACTTGAAACTTAGCTTCTGTCGATACATGATAAAACAATTTCTTCAGTTCCCGTTCAATTTTCAAAGCATTAAATGCTCCATTTTTGTTTACGCAGCATGTTTCATTCAAATACGATCCAGTGAGTCGTTATCACCATTTTAATGTCTCTCAATTTCGGTAAAATGCTTCGGTAAATGCTAAAATAAAATGTTTGTTGGTATATTTCGAAATTCAGACCTAAGAGTGATCACCATTTTGTGTTCCTCCAATTTAGTTTGAACACAGTCTGATGCTGCAAATGGGATTGCAGTTCATTTATATTAACCCAAGGCCCTCTATCCGGCGCACCGATAAACGGGTGTCAAGGCTTCTACTTATAGGTACAAGAACTTTTCAAATAAAATGAATATTTTTTTCATGTGCAATTTTAATTGTAAGAGCACTAAACACCCCAATGTTAGAGTCCAATGGTACAAAATTGGGTATTACAAAATGACATTAAATTCGTTTGCACGAATATCAATCAATCAAATTTATAACGAAATTGCATTTAGCTTTTTCATTCCGAAATTTTATAGAATCGGGGTGCCCTTTTTACGCTCGGCGACTGATGACACCCACTTTTGCTGGAATCACCTCTTTTATTGGGCGCCTTTCTTCTGCTGGGGTCGCCTCTCTCTTGCTGAGGTCACCCCTCTTCTGCTCGGCGGGACTTGCTTCTGATGGGCGCTCCTCCTCTGCTGGGGTCTCACACTTTTCTGCTGGAGACTGACACTTCCCTTCCCGGGTATGCCCTATTTTTCTAGAGGCGTCCCTCTTCTGCCGGGCGAGCCCAACTTCTGCTTAAGTCGCTCGACCTTTTCTACTGAGGGCGCCCTTCTTACTCGGCGAGCCCAACTGCCGCTTGAGGTGTCCCATTTTTATTGTATGCGCCCCCTTCTGCGGGCAGCGCCCCTCTTTTGCGGGGCTGCCCCTCTTCTGCTGGAGGCGCCCTCGCCCATCTTCTGGTGGCGGCGCCCCTCTTCTGTTGAAACCGCCCCTCTTCTGCGGGTGCGTACTCTTCTGCTGAAGGTGCTCGGCAATGTCTGTTGGGGGCATTGCTCTTTTGCTGGGGAGCCCCTGTTCTGCTGGGGATGCCCCACTTCCGTCGGGGCCGCTGGGGACGCCCCTGCTGGGGGCGCCCCCGGCCCCACTGCTGCTGGACGAACCCAACTTTTGCTCCAGGTGCCCCTTTTGTATTGGGGCGCCTCTATTCTTTAGGCATCCCTCTCCTGGTAGGGCGCCCCTTTCTGCTGGGGCGGCCCTATGCTGGGGGTACTCTTCTGCTGGGGGCGCCCCACTACTACTGGACGAGCCCAACTTTTGCTTGAGTAGCCCCAATTATATTGGAGTGCCTCTCTTCTTCTGGAAGCATCCCTCTTCTGGTGGGGCGCCCCCTTTCTGCTGGGTGGCCATTCCTGTGTTGAGGGCGCTCCTTTTCTGCTGGAGGCATCTCTCTTCTGGTTGGGCGCCCCCTTTCTGCTGGGGTGCCCTTCTTCTGGTAGGGCGCCCCTCTGCTGGTGAGGCGCCCCTTTCTGCTGGGGTCGCCCGTGTTCTACTGAGGGCGCTCTTCTACTGGGCGAATCCAAGTTCTGCTTGTGGGCCTCATTCATTCCTACTAGGGGCGCCTCTCCTCCGCTGGGGCGCCAGTCTTATGCTTGACGATCCCAACCTACGTTGGAGGTGCCCCACTTCTGCCTCGGGCGCTCCACTTTTGCTGAGAAAGTCCCGTTCTTGCCGGGGTGCCCCTTTCACCCATTTTTGGGGAGCGATACGACTGGACGCTTTCCAAGCCCGCAGGCAGCACGACGCCGGTCACGAGACGGAATGTAGCCGGGATATCACCCTCACCATCTGCTGCTCAAGAGCTTATCGGTGTCGGGCAGCGTGTGGGGCGCCGCTTAGCCTATGGGGGTGCACTTTGACGTGATGGGGGTGCACTTTCAGGGGATGGGGGTGCACCTGCACCCCCATACATATAGAAAGTTACACCGCTGGTGCTCATTGCCACTGAAAGACAGCTAAAATGCTTTCTATTTGTAGGAAGTAGTGCTTACCTACGTTTCAATGCATTACCACCCCTCATTCAGCATAGATGGCGCTGGGGATCTTGAATAGCGACTTCAATCACCACACAGGTAATGTGCCACCGACACCGAGTGACCGCAGACAACGAATAATGATAAACTTACAAAAAAAGTTAAAGCAAAACTCTTGCTTCATGGTTTGAGCTGGCTGGCTATTAGGCGCTTAACCCTCAGCTGAGGTTGACTGTTTTAGACGTTTTAGTTGAACTCACCCGATTGAGAGAGGTAAGTTCAGCAAAAGTGTCAAAACATTACATCTGCTGTTTGTCTTAGTACTTTCACCAGACACTCAGGCTCACAGAGAGTGTCTCAATTGGGTAATGTCCAGCTTTGCTCCAAGGCTGCGAGGGTCGGGACTCTGAATTCAGCCACCTCCATGCTTGTTTAACATACCATAAATCATAATATAGATTTGTATGGTATAATATTTAAAAATCGCTAGATCTACACTGATATCACAAATTCTAAGGGGGCATTCAAATGCATTAACTCCTTAGTATATGAAAAATACAACTTGCAAGTTTGAAATTAAATATCTCTGAATTAAAGCTATTCTCGTTATTGTGAGTGTCCAAATCGGGAACTATAAGCCAGTCATTTTGTCACTTTTATTCACGGTAGGTATGAACTGTATACTGTTCAGCGTGCTCGCGGTGCGGTGACACAATCTGATATCGGCTATAATGTCGGCAGACGGTCTGTTGTGACTTGGGAAGCAGAGAGCGGGATGGCTGTCAGAGAAGGGAGAGAAAGAGAGGAAGAGAGAGAGAGAGAGAGAGAGAGAGAGAGAGAGAGAGAGAGAGAGAGAGAGAGAGAGAGAGAGAGGGAGGGGAGGGAGGGGGAGGGAGAGAGGGACCTCATCAGAGCAGTCGGGGCTGAGCACGGCAAAACCCGATGAGGCCGTCACGAACAGCTCCCACAGTCTCCAAATACTTCGGAAACAGCTGGAAGGTAACTAAATCGCAGCAGACATCCAGCGCTGCTGAAGTCTGTTTTATTCGGGTAGCCTAGCAACCAGTAGCAGAATATTGCACGGAGTATATTGAAGAATGATATCGGAATTTGCGGAACTACCTACATATTTAAACGACGCATGCCAGGCTCACTGTATTTTATCGTTCACCCAAATGCGACTCAAGAAGATCACTCTCAGTTTTATACACTAGGGAACCATAAAAGGTTAACCCTCGCCGGCACAGGCCATTTTGAGTCCTTCGACGGCACAAGGGGGGGATTGGTTGGTACGACCCCCCTCGCGTTTGGTCCCTGATGGGGCTAGAGCTTCGCGGAAAAAAACGAGCGTGTTGCCCGTCACGAGAACAAGCCAATGATACCCAATTTTAAGGTCCTAGGTCATCGGTTGACCTTCCAGGTCAGGTCAATGACCCAAAAATCGGGAATATCGGGACCTGTTAGAAAGTTGTAAAGCGTGGCTGCTAAGGGGGTTTCCGGGATGCTGATCACGAATATCGTGTTAGTTTTGATCACAGATGATGTCGTTAAGCGTTTAGACCAGGTCGGGTCAGGTCAGGTCAGGTCAGGTCAACCGGTAGGGGTCGTGACGGGTATTCGTAGTACCTGTCATCCACCTCTGACAGCTTCGTAACATGTTACGAAGGCACCAAAACTACTTCGTAAATGTTCAAATGGTTGCTAAATTCGAATTCAGCTCCAAAAACTAGCCTAGAAACATGTCAAACTCGAAAAAGTGAACCGAGGTCAACAAAGGTCAATGACCTGACCTGACCTTCAGGTAACCTTGACACCCACCCTAATGCATGGGAGCAACATTAAATCACATGTTTGAACGTTTGAAACCACGAAAAGCTTGCAAACGCGCGGTTAATGCGAGCCGACATACGCCGAATCGCGATTTCGGCCACAACATGGTCACGGAAAAGAGGTCACAGGTCAAAGGTCATTGGGGTCAGGGTCATGAAATTTTCAGGGTAGGTGTAAAATTGAGCAATGCGAGGATACTTAAAGTTTCGTCGCGATCGGCCGCTTTTTACGCGAGTTATTCGCGAAAAACCTTAGGGGGTTGCTTCAACCCCCCCCCCCCCCTGTGCCGGCGAGGGTTAAAGTGAATCTTGGCACGATATTTTTTTCCAGAAAACATTCTTTCCTGCTCCATAACTTTAAACTCACTCTTCGTTTGTAGGTCACCGCTCTCCATCACAAATTGAAAGGGCGGCTATTTTCGTCTCCAAGCTGTCGTGTTCCACCGTAATGCGACATTGAGCGGCCGTCCCGGCTTTTCACGCAGCGCCGCAGGCATCCATCTTTCATTACTGGGTTTACAGCCATCCATCGAGCCCTTCGATCTATTTTGAAAAACGGTGGCCAGTGGCGGCTGGCAAAGTGCAATTGCTCGCCGTCAGAAAAGCATCGCGTGCCTCTATCGGCTGCAGTCGAAATCCATTGGGCTCGCTGTCGTCCGCTCCCGCCCCGGCCCTTCCCACAGCGCCCCCTCCCCCTCGCACTGCACTGTTCACTGATGGCAGTGCGCCGGACGACCGTCCATCTAAAGCCCATCATTATTAACGGTGAGCCTATTGGTTGGAGCGCCGGGGAAGCACTGCCCAATCCATAGGTTTAAACATGTATGGCACTGTCGATAAATTCGATAGCAGATGT